TATATATATATATATATATATATATATTATGTTTTTATGGTTTTGTTTTGCTTTTTATAAAAATTTTTATTTAATTTAGTTTGTTAATGAATCCCGAGTTTAATGGGTTAACCTGATTTGACAAATTAACTCAGAATTTTATTTTTTTAATTAATTTTTTTCATTTAATTTAGTTTGTTAATATTAAATTTCTTTCTATTTAATTATCCAACTTTCATGACACGTATTCCAAGCTTGACAAGTTAACCCAGTTAATTATGGGTTAACCTGTTAAATTTGTTTTTATATTTAATTATCAAACTTTCATGACGTGAATCTAAGGTTTGAAGGATTAATCTGATTTGAAGTGTTAACCCAATTAATTCAGATTTTTTTTTCTTTTTCTTTATTAATTTTTTCCTTCCTTTTGTTTTTTTAATTAATTAATTTAACTATCACACTTTTATGACACGACTTTGCAACCAGAGCCACATCCAAGGCTTTTGGGTCCAGTGTTGCAACCAAATTCACTTAAACTTGAGTCATGTAAGTTTAATATTATTATAAATATTATAAATATTACTCTTGGGTCAAACGTTGCAGTTAAACCAAAGGCTTTTGGATATATCTTTGTAGAAATACATAACACTTTTATTATAATTATTATTATTATATTATATTATATTATATAACTGTCTTTTTCTTCTTCTTTTTTGTTTTTTTCAATGAATTTTTTTGTTTGATTTAGTTTACTAATGTTAAATTTTATTTATTTAGCTATTAGATTTTCATAATACGGATCCCGGGTTTAATGGGTTAACCTGATTTGACAAGTTAACCCGGATTTTTTTAATTAATTTTTTTCATTTAGTTTAGTTTGTTAATGTTAAATTTTTTTCTATTTAATTATCAGATTTTCATGACATGTATCCTGAGTTAACTTAGTTTGATGGGTTAACCCAATTAATTCTGGGTAAACTCGTCAATTTTTTTCTATTTAGTTATCAAACTTTCATGGCGTAAATCCCATATTTTATGGGTTAACCTGGTTTGAAGGGTTAACCCAATTAATTCAATTTTTTTCTTTTTCTTTATTAGTTTTTTTTTCTGTTGTTTTTTTCTTTTTAATTAATCTATTTCATTATCATATTTTTATAACACGACCTTATAGCCAGACTCACATTCAATATTCTTGGGTCCGGTGTTGCAGTCAGACTTACTTAAACTTGGATCATGCAAGTTTAATGTTATTATTAATATTATAAATATTACTCTTAGGTCAGATGTTGCAACCAAATCCAAAACTTTTGGGTATAGCTTTACAGAAAAACCTAACACTTTTAAATCATATATTTTTTTTTATATTTTTTATACAAAAAAATAACCTGCGGCATCACGTGGGTCATGTAATTAGTTATTTATTATAGTTTGAGTGTGGTTGTTTATATTTTTAAGTGTATTTTAAAGAGTATTTTATTTGAAAAAAATATTAAATTAATATTGTTTTTAATGTTTTTTGAATAATTTTAATATGTTAATATTAAAAATAAAAAATATTTTTATATAATTTTAAATAAAAAGTAATTTTAAAAAGTACTTTCCTGCAATATCAAGCAACTAATAAATACTATCAGTTTAAAGATACTGCTATTCTTATTATATTTGTATTTTATCCTAGTAATTGTTTGATTATTATTTCTAAATAAAAAATAAAAATAAAAGGGACATGTTTTCTTATATTTTGTTTTGAAAGTATAAAAATTACTTAAAAATTACTTATATTTTATATCTCTATTTCTTTTTTAAACTAAACATATTTTTGTCTTTACTCTTTTTTTCCAAGACAATAACTAAATATTACAATAATAAAAATTTAGATATTCATCAAGGATTCATTACTAGAAAACTATTTATTATTCAACAAAAAACAAAAAACAAAGTAATATATACATTAAATGATAAGATATATATGTATGTGTGTGTTATATTAATATAGGGGTATTGTTGATCGATTGATAATTGATTATTTAATTAATATGCTATTTGTCTTTTGTTTTGTTCTTCTAATAAAAAAGAAATAATAATTAGAAACTGAATTTAAGTGAAATATATATCGCAACCTCATAAATCAAAGTGAATGTGGGGTTTTAAACTTAACTTTAAATATTAAAAGTACAAAAAAGAATATATGTAATATGCATGAACGTCTTAGCCCAATCTGATATATTAAACATGCTTAGATCTAAAAAAATTTGAATAAATCAAGTATATATTTTTTAAAAATATCAAAAGTTAGGTTAGATATAATTATAGATCAAAACCAATCCACTATATTCATGAACAAACATAATTAAAATCAAGTAAAAATAGTTGATTGTTCATATTTATAATGATAAAATTTACAGTAATACCATCAAATACGATGATGGAAAGGTTAAAATTCATGTTTTTTTTTTAATTATTTATCAAAATTAACTTCTAAACTATATATGAACCCAGAATAACCTATATACATAGGAGATTAATCAAAGATTATTATAATAATATGGTATCATTGCTCTATAATTATAAGGATTGTTTTGCTTGAGATTATAATGAGATTCTTGGGCTAGACATAAATTGATCAAACATCCATTATTAATCAAGTTTAGGTTTAAGACATAAAGCAATCTCTTTTGAGAATGACTTTATATATGATTTATCATGTGAAAAAGGAAATAAAATGAATGATAGAGGATTGATTCATTAAGCCAACTAGATATGCTGAGTAGATTTCTAATACTATGCTAATACTAAAAAAAATGGAAAACTAAGAGATTGTTTATATTTTACAAATCTTAATTTTACAACATCAAATAATAAATATCCAATGTCAATGACTAATATATCAATCGATTCAATAGCAAAGAATGACATCCTTAGCTTTAAGAATATCGCTTTTAGATGTCCTGACTCATTTAAAATATATAAGTAGGTAGTGATGTCATTTGTCCTTAATATTATTAGTGTTACTCGTAAAAAGCTATGATTTTGATTTTTTATAACATAATTAATCATAAGATAGAGGTTGATAATATTATGATGAATAAAAATAAGAATCTAGTTATTTAGATAAGCTATATTATAACCTTGAGTGAATGTGAATGTATAATTTCAAGATAAAATTATAAAAATATGCCTTTTACATGCATGTATAGGGGTAAACAAAAACAAAGTAAAGGAAATTGTGAAAGCTTGATCTCAATGAATAAAAAGAAAATCGTAAAACTTTTTAGGCAAAATTAATTTTTTTAAAAGGTTCATATCAAACTTTTTAAGAAAGATTATATCATTTACTAAACTACCAAGATGGAATAACATATACAAGTTTTAATGGATTAATATCAAATTGCATTTCAAGAAATAAAAACTTATCTAACTAAACTTTTAGCATTGACCATACCAAAACCTATGAAGCTTTTAAGGCTATATATTTTAGTTGTACAAGGGTTGATTAGAAAAATGCTTGCATAGAAAAATAAAATTGGTTATGAATAAGTTATCAATTATCTTGATCATGTCTTTATAGAGGTTGAAAAATAAAATATTTTAATAAAAAAACTTTGTTTATCCTTATATTTTATTAGTGTAAAGTTATATTGGTACATACTAATAGTTGAACTATATATATTATAAAATAAATTTGATAAAATATATATTCTTTAAACCTTTCGACTCACAATCAAATTGGCAATTGAATATTAATATTGTTTGAACTTGATTTACATTGTATTCCTTAAAGAATAGTAAAATTCAAGCTTTGACTAATTTATTAATTGATCATCACTACCTTCATATCAATCATGAAATGGAACAAGATATGAATGTTATTATCCCAAGACTTGTTTCACAAATGTTAAATTTTAATGGATTAAAAATAAAAATAAAGCTTGTGCATAGGTATTAATAATTTCTCTAGAAGGACATAAAATAGTTTTATTATTTTATCTTGATTTTTCTTGTACTAATAATCAAATCGTGTATGAGACCTTAATTAAAATTTTAAAGATATTTATAGATTTAAAAGCTTAATTAACTAGAATAACAGGAGAATCATTACTCATTATAAAAATGTTAGCTAGTGAGTACAAGTGCGGATATCTTATACTAACTTTATACTATATGGTGAACAAACACCTTATTAATAAATTTTCTAATTTAATTATTCTTTTGTAAGAGGAAATAGTATATAAACCAATAACTTGGCTCAATATGGATCAAGATCTAAAATAATCATCGATGATCATGAAATCATTTATATAATGATTATTAATTGACCAGCATAGCTAATATATAATAAGAATGTAATGATGATAAGAAAAAGGTTTATATTATATGGTAAAAAAAAAAACACAAAAAAATAAGATAAAACTATGGAAAAACTTTTCTAGCAAGTAACAAGCAGAAAGTCTTGATATATCAAGTGGCATTGATCCATAAAATGATTAAGGAGAAGAAATCAAATCTTATGTGTAGGATCCTTCATGAAAAGTTTAAAAAGCAACCTAAACTTCAATACTAAACACACATTAAAAATCTAATTTCTTATAAATAAAAAATAAAATTAAAAATTAAAAAAAAATAATTAAATTACCATACAAATCAATAATGATTTATCTCTTCACCTAGAGTCCCTTTAAATTTTAATTTAAAAGATGTATCCCTTTAAATTTTAATTTAAAACATGTTTGGAATTATAGTATAAAATACTTTTCAAAATAATTTTTTTAATTTTATTTTTAAGATCAAAATTATAAAAAGAATATCAATTTAATATTTTTTAAAAATCAAATACTATTTTAAAAAATATCTATAAAAATATAAGCGGGAGTCTTCCATGCGCATCATCCATCTTGCTGTGATTCACATCTCTAATTTTTTTAACGCCCCATCAAAGGATGACCATAATGACCTCATCCCTGCAACCCACTTGGTACAGTGTCTGTGAAAATCACCAAGCACGTCCTCCATCAACAATCATCTTTTTTTTTGAAGAGTAGAGAATCATGAAGACATTCCAAACCAAACATATTCTATATTTCGAATTCTTAATAGTACAAAGAAATTGCCACCAAGGGCTTGCAAATGCTGG